TTTCTAGACTTGATAAAAACAGTGAAGTTGCTAAAACTATTAAAAAGGCCCAACTTCTCATTATTAATGACTGCACCATGGCATCCAGTCATGCTATAAACGCCATAGACAGATTACTAAGAGAAATTATGAATTTGAATGTTGTATTTGGTGGGAAAGTTCTCCTTGGAGGGGATTTTCGACAATGTCTCAGTATTGTACCGCATGCTATGCGATCAGCCATAGTACAAACAAGTTTAAAGTACTGCAATGTTTGGGGATGTTTCAGAAAGTTGTCTCTTACAACAAATATGAGATTGAGATCAGAGGATTCTGCTTATAGTGGATGGTTAGTAAAATTTGGAGATGGCAAACTTGATAGCAGTTTTCATTTAGGAATGGATATTATTGAAATCCCCCGTGAAATGATTTGTAATGAATCTATTATTGAAGCTTCCTTTGGAAATACTATATCTATAGATAATATTAAAAATATATCTAAACGTGCAATTCTTTGTCCAAAAAATGAGCACGTTCAAAAATTAAATGAAGAAATTTTGGATATACTCTATGGAGATTTTCACACATGTTTGAGTGATGATTCCATTGATTCCACAGATGATGCTGAAAAGGGAAATTTCGTGCACCGGGTTATTAGTTAAAACAATAACAAAATAAAGCCAATGTAAAAACCAAATGACAGACATGTTAACATTTTTAGCTACTAAATGAAAGTTTCTTTTGCTGCTGGTGTTTAAAGGGTGTCCCAAAATTCACGCAAGAAGTAATTTTGATAGAAAACACAGGTTTATAATTAAAAATTGTAAATTTTTTATTGATTCATAAAGTATACAGTATAGGGTTATGTATGGAATAGCATATCAGGTAAATGGCCTCCACGGCTTTGCTGGCACATACGCACTCTTTTGTTATTGCCTGAGCAGCCGCATTTTCGAAGAAGAATGGTCCGATGTTGCCTCCAGCCCAAAAGCCACACCAAACAGTGACATGTTGTGGATGCATTTGTTTCTCAACAATCACTTGTGGATTTTCTGAACCCCAAATGCGACAATTTTGTCGATTAACCACTCCATCAAGATGAAAATGAGCCTCATCGAAATTCAGCCACATTTATGCAAAACAGTCATGGAAAATTTCAACAAAAGAGTGCGTATGTGCCAGCAAAGCCGTGGAGGCCATTTACCTGATATGCTATTCCATACATAACCCTATACTGTATACTTTATGAATCAATAAAAAATTTACAATTTTTAATTATAAACCTGTGTTTTCTATCAAAATTACTTCTTGCATGAATTTTGGGACACCCTTTATTTACTCAGAGTCCTCGAACTTGGCTGTGCAAGACTTTACAGAAGACTGGCAGCTAACCAATGCTAGCATAGCCAGAAACATGGTTGAGGGAGTAGCTTACATTTGCTTTTCTACCATCTGCTGGGCTTTAGTCTTTAACTTCTTCGGCTGATCCCATGTTGGCACCTCGGTCACTTGCGTAGCCTTCATTTTCTTCTTCTTCCGCATTGTTGTCATCCGGGCAACTCTCAGTCTTTTGAACGAAGGGACAAGGAGCTTCTCTAGGTCCATTGTGGTGACGCACATAACACTCTGGCACCCAAATTGGCTGTGCTGCTCCTTCTGGAAAGATAAAAAACACAGCCTCTTCCCCACATCATTACTGGATCTGGTAAAACTCTTGTCTGGTTTGTGCATCCTTCCCCGGGCTAACTCAGTGGAGGCTATTGCACTGGAGGCCTGATTCCTTTCGGCCGCTGTACAACTCTGCATCGTAATTCAAAAAATTTAACACATAACATCCTTCTCCCTCTTTTTGTTTTTGTAATTGCTTTTTAAGAGTAGAATTGGCTCTTTCCGCTATGCCTGACCTTGAATTGGTGCTATTTTTGTTTCTGGTAAGACCTGATTTATAGTATTAATTGATTGTGCCGTTACTTTAATTTCTCCAGTATAGTCCTGATCTATCACTCCAGGAAGAACTTGAAACCCTTTCAATGTTAAACAGCTCCTCCCTAAAATTAGTCCCATCATGCCCTGGGAAGAGGACCATATACTCCTGTAGCAATGGCCTGAGGCCCCATCTCTGGGGTTAGTACATATCAGAAGGTGGGACTGAGGTCCAATCCTGCGCTTCCCGGGGTGGCACGGTAAAGGTTTCGAACAGTTGGCTTTGGGACTGAGCCGGCTGGAAAGGCTGCAGTGGGGTCAAGGATAAGGCCCCTACTGTTTGGTGCGGCCGGGGCTGGCCCCGCTTGAAGTTTCCCTGCCAAAGGGGCATTGGATTATCATCAACATCAGTCTTGGAGCGGCATTCATTTACTCAATGCTTTCCTCTCCTGCATCTTGGACATAGTCCAGGCTGGTTGTTTCCACTCCCTGTAGCCTTTGGACTTCCATTTCTAGCATTAGCATCTTTAGCAAAATGCCCTAGTTTACCACAGTTAAAACAACCCCCTTTCCTTTTCTGCTGACCAGCAAGTAACATCTCCTTTAATGCGGCAGCTAATACCATTCCCTGAACGTAGGCTGGTCCAATATCAGCACAAACACGGATAAAACACTTCCATAATAAGTAATCTCCAGGTGAGAGACAAGCCTTTGCGACAGTATTAAGCCTCTGGTAACCTTCCATTATCTGTCTTAGTTCCCCTGCCACATTCACTTATTTCAATTTGCCAATTTAAATCAGTCTGAAATAAGGTTTATTTTCTAACTTTATTTGTCCTAGGGTGTGGACAGTAAATGACACTAATTGGATTTCTGCTATCAGTCTTTTTGAGTATATAGACATAATCTTTGGTTAGGGAGGCAAAATGCAAATTATTTACTTTTAAGTGTCCTTAGTTTAGGGAAGATAGGATTTAGTAGATGGCCCTAAACCGCTTGGCATTTATATTTTTTAGATGGTTGCAAACTGCTGTTACATGGGAGCCACGAAATTAGAAAAATGGCTCTGTAGGTCTTTGCATACAATTAATAAAAACTTTCTTAGGATTCCTGAGTATATTGAATAAATTTGTCATTTCTCCCGTAGATATTTTTAGATAAGGTCTTAACTAATTAATGTCCTCTAATAATTTCTAAAAGTCATTTAAGGTCTTGAGGCAATCCTTTTGTATTTCTACCTTTTGAGGCCTCATACATTGATTTTTAAGTACAGTTCCCAGGTATTTGAAGGGGATTTCCCTCTGTATTTTTTCCCAGAGCAATCTCTAAGCCACATTTAGGGAGTTTCTTTTAAAAACTTTTACTTTCTTTTAAACAGAACAACCAACCTGGTTGCTTTTCAGAAAAACTAGTAGGAGAGAAACTTGCTGGCCAATACTGCAATGCATACATACCAGCCGTATGCCTAAATTGTGAGAAATGTCTCATCTATCCAAATTTCAAATGACGGACTGGGAAATAAAAACATGGCAAAAATGAGACTTTTAATAACACTCCCAAGAGTGGGCATCCATTTTACAGGAACACCAAAAGACCTAGTAATTAATGGGCTGGGGCCTTTTTTAGTTACTTTCCCTTTGTCTAGGGAATTTTCCTAGAACCTGTGTCATCAGCCACATGTATTGTTTATATTGTTTCTCTCCATCCCCACATTCTGTTTGCTCTGGGGAAATTTAGTAATGGTCTGGCCATCCACTGTTTCTTTAAAATTAAAGGCATGCTTAATAGACTAACAATAAACAACTCAAACCAAACAACAAAGACAGATAAAACAACTATCAACAGACAAGCACTCATAACACATAGACAAGACTTAATAAATGAGAGTTCTTTTCATGGATCTTTCAGATATTTTTTATATTGCCTGGGACTTACAGCCAGAATGCAGCCTAGAGCTCAGCCTGTTGTTCATAGATCTTATCATATTCTGCTCTCCATAGGATTGACTGGCGTCTAAAGTTATTTTTGCTAAAATCTGCCTGTCCCAAGGCGTCATGTGATAATTTTCAGACAAAGCATTAAAGAGTCCTTTTGTAAGATGACTGTTAGCCCCATTTTCTCTAGCTGTTGAGCCTTCCCACACTAGAGGTGGAGGATCCGGGCCCTTAGGTGTTACAGACTTTTGATCCTCAATATGAAGTGGGCATAATGCAGTTCAAACAAGAGCCCACATAGTTAAAGATGACAAGGGCACTCGTTTTCCTTAAGCCTGATTTAAGAGAGTACCTTTTGACACCTTAAGAAATTTAGGAATTTGACTACACTTTTTTGAACATTGTTTTAGAGATCCCTTTCCTGAGATCCTGAATTTCCCATATTTTATGCCTAGCTGTTACTAAACTGCGCTCCTTACCTTACTTTTTGCTATCTGCACGTGCTTCACTGGAGCATCCTTTCACCTTGCAATTGTAGTTCCCCCGTACTCAGGCCACATGTGCCATGCCGGCACAGCCAAGGGTGAACCTGAGGAGGGGCGGTGAAGGATTAAAGAAGACAAACAAGAGAATACAGCTGGGGCTTTGCAGATCTCCCGTGCCTGGATGAGGACACAGAAAGACCCAGCCTGCAAGCCGAGGCTTTATTTATAGTCAAAACACACAAAGCAAAACACGGGAAGTGGTCAACATGTTTACAATGTTCTTGTGTGTTTCACCTTGTTTTGGCAGCACTTGTTGCACCTCCCACAGCCCATTAGCTACCTAGGGAGGGCTATAAGGTCAAGCTTAATTATGCTAAGAGGGCTCTGCCCTCCAAGCTGGGACTTGTTTGTGGCCCTGCTACAGGCCAATCCAAGGCTTGACCCTATAGCCACTCCCTACACACAGATTAAGAGTTTTTCATATAAGCCAATATGTGTTTCTAATAATAAATTTAATGTTATTAAAAGTAACTCAGAATAGACCTCGACTTTATAGTATGATATCAGATCAAACCTCTACCTTAACTAAAATACTCTATACTGGCTAATAACAAATGGACAAATATATTTAGACCACAGACACTCAATTTCCTTTCATTTATTTATTTGTATTATTACATCAAATCCTATGAAATATTTTTCTACCAAGCATTCTCTTTAGAGCTTCCTTAATCTCACTGTTTCTGAGGCTATAGATGATGGGGTTCAGCATGGGGATCACCACCATATAGAACACGGACACCACTTTATTCTGATCAGTTGAGTAGCTGGACTTGGGCAACACATAAATGAATATGATGGTCCCAAAGTACAGACTTACTGCTGTGAGGTGGGCGGTGCAAGTGGAGAAGGCCTTGTGGCGCCCCTCATTGGAGCGCATCTTCAGGATGGTGATGAAGATGTACATGTAGGAAACAATTATGACAAACACAGTGAACAAAATGATGGAGCCAGCTGTAAATGAGGGGACAACTACAGGGATACTGTTCTCAGAACAGGAGAGTTCAACTAGAGGAGCAAAATCACAGAAAAAATGATTGACTCGATTTGGTCCACAGAAGAATAAAAAATAGTAGCAAATAGCAAAGGAGGAAGCATTGAGAAAACTACCCACATAAGCCACTATGAGGAACTGAACACAGACTTGTGTGGACATTTTGATTGAATAAAGCAGTGGTTTGTAAATTGCCACAAAGCGATCATATGCCATGATAGCCAGAAGGAAGCACTCCACTGTCCCAAAGAATGCAGCTGAACCAAGCTGGGTGCAACATCCATGATAGGAGATGGGAATTCCCTCCACCAGGAAGTTTTCAAGCATATTGGGTGTGACAGTAGTTGAAATAGCTATGTCTGCAGAAGCCAGGTGGCTCAGAAAAAAATACATAGGATGATGGAGCTGAAAAGAGATTCTGATAAGAATGATTGTGCCGAGGTTGCCAGATACAGTCACCAGGTAGATACACAGGATGATCATGAAGAGGATGACTTTAAGGATGGGGTCATCAGTTAAGCCCAGTAGAATGAAGCCTGTCACTGCAGTGTGGTTGTCATCCCTCAAGGAACCCATATTATAATGTAGCTGCTACCAATGAACCTGAAATATTACATTAAGAAGATATACATTTAATGATTTCATTTTCATTAATACATATGGGAAGTAATAAATATATTTAAGTATCAGTGCGTATTTACATGCAATTATGAATCTTTCTGGTTTTTAAAAATTATTTTAGCAGAAACCCCAGAAATGTTTCTTCAGACAGTGTCATATGTACATATACATATATACATATCCATATACTATACTCTAATATTTACTATATGCTTACTAAATGATAAGTGTAGGGCTAAAATCATGTAAATATATACATATATACAGTTTAATTGATTGCCCATAAAATAATATTAATACTAATTGTTTTATAGAAGAGTAACCTAGGTCTGAAAGAGGTTATGTAGCAAGTCATGAATTTAGAACATGAAACTTGGGAAGTCTTAACTGCCCCATTCCTTTAGTGTTATTTAACAAATGAATTTAAATAACAAATGCAGTTACATAATACTTAACATGAAATCAGTGCATCTGGCAATGAGCGGACAATAGGTTGTCCTTTAAGCCTTCTAGCCGCTAAGAATAAAACAGGCACATACTTATTTATCTATTTCACAATATCTGTCAGTTAAATAAAATCAGTGTTTTCAAAGGAGAAATACAATTATTCCTGATACTAATTCAGATAAGAATTTCAAATTAGGGTTATGAGTGAGATCATCTATTGTAAATGTACTGGATATTTTTTAATATTTACAATTCAGAATATTACTGTTTTATCAAATAAGTTGAAATATTAATGTAATCACTATGAAAAAACATGATTCATATTCAGAAGATAATTAAAATATATAATATTAGTTCCTACTTTAACAATGTTTTTGTTTTTTAAATTTTGTTAATGTAATCACTATGCAAAAACATGATTCATATTCAGAAGATAATTAAAATATATAATATTAGTTCCTACTTTAACAATTTTTTCTAATTAAAGTTTTGTAAAATGAAATGATATTATTATCAACACTAGAGGCCTGGTGCACGAAAATTCGTGCACTCAGGGGGTTCCCTCAGCCTGGCCTGCACCCTCTCGCAGTCCAGGACCCCTCAGGGGATGTCCAGCTGCCGAGGAGGCGGGAGGGGCTCCCACCACCACTGCTGTGCTTGCAGCTGTCAGCCAGGCTTGTGGCTGAGCAGCACTACCCCTTGTGGGAGCGTACTGATCACCAAGGGGTAGCTCCTGCTTTGAGCGCATGCTCCCTGGTGGTCAGTGTGTATCATAGTGACCAGTCGTTCAGCCTTTAGGGTCAATTTGCATATTACCCTTTTATGATATAGGATAATATGTAGCTGAATACAGTGTAGCCTAAGAGCTGAAAAGGGATCACCCAGCGTGTGGCCAGGCTGACCCTCATCTCCAGATTTTCTGAATTTATATCCTGAGCTTTGTCTACAGTGTTATTGCCTTGAAGCTAAAGCATTTAGAGCCATAAGCAAAGTCAATCTTTCTGCAAAGACATCTACAATATCTTTATATTTTTAAATCTTAAGTGTGTTTCATTTCAATAAATGTTGAGAATAGCTCAATGAGAGCATTACTGGAGAGTGCTGAGCTTGGATAGTGTTGAAAGACCGTATGAGTTTCTCTCTTAGGGGTAGATAAACAGGAATCCTCATAGTTTAGATTATGCCTGTTTACATATGAACTAAATAGCAGTTGAGCCAATTGCTTACTGGCTAATTGCTTAATTACATCTGCCCTGTTTCCCAACTATGACTTGTGAGTACACATATAATGTTAGCGAGTAAGTGGCCTCAAATAGTAAATGAAAATCATTACAACAGCTTCATTAACAAAAGTCGAAATCTTACCTCGAAATAAGAAGTCATTCATCTTTCAATAACAGATTAGAGTTATTGTGGTTATATAGTGATCTTTTATTTTTGTTTCCTTTGGGGACAAATCTCTGATGATTCTAGAGCTTCAAATGAGAATTCAAAAGCATTATGGTAGCATCATTATGTTCCGTAGTGGCTAATTGAGCAATACAATTCACACACCAATATACAACTAATCTTTCAAGATTCTGTAAATTCTCAGGTGGTCAATTTATTGTTATTCTTCTATGCAGGTATTCACCTTTATTTAGTAATTATTAGAATATAATATAATAAATTGTCTAGATAAATATTGGTTCCAAATTAACTTTGATATTTTAGATTAAGAACTACTTAGTATTAAATTTCACATATAAAAATATAACTTAGCTTTATCCATATGTATTCATTGCTGAGTATTTTGTATTGATATCTGTAAGATGTCAGTACTTTAGGGAAATATGAGATGGAACTTGATATAAAATTGAATTTTAAGTAACAAACATTTTTAAGACATATACATTAATTATAATATCAGATGTAAGAAAATGGAAGCTTTGAAAGTTGTATAGAACATTAAAGAAAAAAGATTTGGATGACTTCCAGATAAAAAATAGTCTCTCACTGTCAATAACCTCAAATGCTGCCTCCTGAGATAGTGCCTTGTGGTGTAGGTGAATGGTGGTGGGAAGCAGGTATCTTCAACCCTAAGATTCAGTTTTACCTAGTTCTCTTGTTAATCCTAATTTTATTTCTTTAATTTTATAAACTTTTTATTAAAGTACTAGAGGCCCAGTGCACAAAATTCATGCACGGGTATGGTCCCAAGGCCTGGCTAGCAATCAGGGCCGATTGGGGCCTTCCTTCCTCTGGTTGCCGGTCACTGGCCAGGGCCTTCCTTTGTTCTGTGCCGCCCCCTGGTGGTCAGCATAAGTCATAGTGAGCAGTCGAACTCCCGATCGGTCGAACTCCTGAGGGGACAATTTGCATATTAGCCTTTTATTATATAGGATATATTGTTATATTCAATTTGTTAATATTATACTTAGAACTTTCACAGGTAGGTTCAGGAGTGACATTAGCTTAGAGTTTTATTTTCTTTATCTTAAGCTATATCCTTGTCTGGTTTTAATATGAGAGTTATAATAGTCTCAAAGAATGAGTTGAGAAGCTTTGTATCTTTTCTTATCTTCTGGGAAAGTTTATACAACATAACAGTTCCTTGTTAGGATTCTTCTGTGAAAGAACTTTCCATGGTGCTTACTTTTATTTGTTTCTTTCTTTTTAAAAAATTATATTTTTATTGATTTCAGAGAGGAAGGGAGAGAGAAACATCAATGATGAGAGAGAATCACTGATTGGCCCTGACTGGGAATCAAATCTGCAACATCTCTTTGGTGCACGGGGCCACACTCCAATCAACTGAGTCACCTGGCTGGGCTCACTCCTCATTCTTAATGGCCAAACATGAGTGTGGGAACAAACTGTTTTATGTCTTCGACCCTCCTATCAGTCTCCATGTGGCTTATTCTTTACTTCCTTAGTTATAGGAGTTCTGTTTAGCTAGTCTTCAGGTGATTCTTTGGGATTGTCCTATAATTAGTTGAAATTTTGGTGTGGTTGTGAAAGGAGGCAAGCAGGGCACTTATACTCTGCCATGTCGACTGTAAGACACCCTGAACTTAAAAAACCCCACTATCTCTCTTAGTTTCTGTCGGTCAGGAACTCAGGACAGACTTGGCTGTGTACACTTTGGCTCAGTGTCTGTGTTGTAGTCAGATAGATGCTGGAGCTGAATCAGGAGGGTCCTGGTACAATTGAGGACCAACTGGGCATTTCTCTTTTTTCTCATATCCCAGGGCCTTTTCACCCAACTTGAGCTAGTTTAGACTACTCACAACATGTCAAGCTTAAGATAGCCAGATACCTACATAGTGGTGAAGGCTTCCAGAGCAAATATTTTCGTGAGCAAGGAAAGCTACATTGTCTTTTATGACCTAGCCTTGGAAGTCACACACCATCATTTCCATCATCCTCTCCCTCATGGGAGTGATTATTAGCCTCCTGGCATGTATTATTTATTTATTGCTGTGTAATAACATTACTGCTGAACTTTTAGCTTTGCTTTCTTCTTTGGGACACTTCTTGGTTTCTGCTTAGTTATGTTCCTAGTCTGTAAACTCTAAGACCCTTGAGTAAATATTTATTTATTATTTTTAGCATAGCCTCCAGACATTTTTTAGTTCATTTGATATACATGATTTGATTTTTTTTAAAATAGAGTTTTTTCTGTAAATTGATAGAGGAATTTAATCCATTCATACAATCAGGTCAGATCATTTTCCTTTATGTTTCCTATCCACTATACTTTCTTGCTGATTTTTTCTCTTCTCTCTAAGATCAAAAGAAAATCCTAAAAAGTTCCCAGAGTAAAAAGAAAGATTATTTACAAAAGAATAAGAAGCAGAATGTCAATGGATTTTTGCATCATCAATACAGGGTACAGAACAGTCTCTGATTCTAAGAGGAAATTATTTTACACTAGAGGCCTGGTGCACAAATTTGTGCACAGGGGGTGGGAGGAGAAGGGACGGCAGGAGGTTGTCCAGCCAGGGGATAGGACCACGGGAGGTTGGCTGGCCGTGGGAAGTTGGCTGTGGGAGTGCACTGACCACCAGGGGGCAGCTCCTGCATTGAGTGTCTGCCCCCTGGTAGTCAGTGCACATCATAGTGTCTGGTCAACTGGTTGTTCCAGTCATTCAGTCATAACGGTCACTTAGACTTTTATATATATAGATAGTTGGTCTACAATATTATATTAGTTTCAGGTGTACAACATAGTTATTCAACATTTATTTACCTTATGATGTGATCAGAATGATAAATCTAGTAATCATTTGCCACCATACAAAGTATATTATTGACTATATTCCCTGTGCTTTACATTACATTCACGTGTCTTATTTTTATAACTGGAAGTTTGTACTTCTTAGTCCCCTTCACCTTTTACATCCATCCTTCTCCTACCCCAGCAGCCACCAATCTGTTCTCTGTTTCTATGAGTCTGTTTCTGTTTGGGGTTTTTTTAGATTCCACATATAAGTGGAATCATATAGCATTTGTCTTTCTCTGACTCATTTCACTTAACATAATACCCTTTAGATCCATCCATGTTGTCTCAAATGGCAAGAGTTTATTCTTTTATATGGCTGAGAAATATTCCATTGTATATATTAACCACATCTTTATCCACTCATCTATCAATAGCACCTAGCTTACTTCCATATCTTGGCTATTGCAAATAATTCTGCAGTGAACATAGGGGTGCATATATCTTTTCAATTATTGTTTTCATTTTCTTCAGATAAATACCCAGAAGTGGAATTGCCAGGTCATATGGTAGTTTTGTTTTTAATTTATTTAGAAACCTCCATACTGTTTTTCATAGTGGCTGAACCAATTTCCAATCCCACCAACAATACACAGGGGTTCCTTTTCTTTACATCCTTGCCAACACTTGTTATTAGTTGATCATTGATAGTAGCCATTCTGACAGGTGATATCTCATTGTGGTTTGCATTTCCTTGATGATTAGTGATGTTGAGCATCTTTTTATATGTCTGTAGACAATCTTTATGTCTTCTTTGTAGAAATCTATTCAGGTTCTCTGCCCATTCTTTATTGTATTGAGGTTTTTTTATAGTGAGTTGTATTAGTTGTTATATTTGTGGATGTTAACCCCTTATTGGATATGTCATTTGCAAGTATCTTCTCCTTTTCAGTATGTTATCTATTTTCATTTTGTTGATTTTAGATTCTCCTATCTCAATCCACTTTTGAGGGGCTGGGATTAACCACCAACAAAATAATCAAAACCAACATTCATTTGGAGCTAATTTTTTGCCAAAAACCATACTCAACATTTTGTACATATTTAATCCTCAATACAATTTTATGTTGTTGGTACTTTTATTATTTTCATTTTTCAGATGGAAGACCTGATACTGAAGAGTTCTTACTTGTGCTGGGTGATTCTGACTCATATTGTCAGGATCCTACATTCACTACTAACCCTAAAATCTCCATTTTGACACACCTTTCTTTCTCTGAAACCTAAGGCCTTCTGGGAAGCTAACAGCAGCCTGCTTAGTTCACAAGCAATTTTGTAATAGAAGAAAACACGGTAATTTCAAGTGAAACATCAAAAGTGCTTTATTCAAAGTAATGTCCATCGCTAGCTACACATTTCCCCCATCTTTTAGGTAGTTTGTGGATACCGTCCCAGTAGAACTTTTCAGATGGGAAAAAAACAAGAACCATATGATTTTACTCATATGTGGGATATAAAACAAAAAGCAATAAATGAACAAACAAAAAACTCATCGACACAGATAACAGTATGGTGGTTACCAAGGGGGAAGGGAGATGAGGGGAGGTAGAAGAGAGTAAAAGGGGCCAGAATATATGGTGACAGAAGGAGACTTGACTTTGGGTGATGAACACACAATGCAATGTATAGATGATGTATTATAGTACACTTATATCATCTTATTAACCAATGTCACCCCAATAAATTTAATACAATTTTTAAAAGAAGCATACATTTGACAAGATTGAAACAACCTTTAAAAAAGTAACCTTCCTATTCTTGTTCATCAAATTATGTTGATCATTATATCCCTCATGAGTGAGATCATGTGATATTTATCTTTCTCCGACTGGCTTATTTTGCTTAGCATAATGCTCTCCAGTTCCATCCATGTTGTTGCAAATGGTAATGATCGATCTAGAGACAAATGGTAGGGGAGGGGTGGTTAGAGAGCAACCAAAGGACTTATATGCATGTATGTTAGCATAACCAATAGACATAGACTAATGTTTTTTAAAAAAGTAACCTTCCTTCTTCATCTAGAAAGGAACCACGTCATACGAATTAGCCCCCGGTAGAGTTTCTTTTGGGGACTCCTTAATGTATTTTGTCGAATAGATTCCTGAGAAGAAAGAACTAGTAGCTAAATAGAGCTTTCAGGTATCTTCTGAGTTGGCTTGAAGAGGCTCACTGGTGGAGGTACTGTGGGAGGAATCCTGCTGTTCACACTCAGGTCACAGGGCACCAGAAGCTTTATAACTACCAGAATCACTGATTTCAATCCTTACACTATGTGTACAGCATGGACACCATCTCTTTCAGGTGATGAGATCTTGGGTGGCAACACGATTCTTTCAAGGAGTTCCAGATGCTTCCAGCAGTTAATTCCAAAGACTGCATTCAAAGAGCATAAAACTTACTTGAAAATATTTATAATTGTAGATGCCACAAATGGTGGGTGAAGTAAAGATAAAGCAATTACTTTTTTCTGGATGCTCTGGTCTTAGTGAATGCACATTTATTCTTTACTTTGAAAATTTTCTTGAGAATAACACAATGAAATTTATGAGTCTAGAATACTATGAAACTTAGTACATTATCCATTCATCTTCAAAAGAGGTTTTCATTATACAGTGTGTATTATTTAAATCAGACTACTTTAGTACCACCAATATGTTCTACCAATTTTCTCATGGCCTCTTTAACCTCCTTGTTCCTCAGACTGTAGATAAGGGGGTTCAACATCGGGATCACCACCATGTAGAACACAGACACCACTTTGTTTTGTTCAGTTGAGTAGCTGGACTTGGGCATCACATAAATGAATGCAATGGTCCCATAGAAGAGAGTGACTGCTGTGAGGTGGGAGGTGCAGGTGGAGAAGGCTTGGTGGCTCCGCTTGGTGGAGTGGATCTTCAGGATTGAGAAAAGGATATAGACATAAGACAGAACAATGATAAACACAGTGACCACAATGATGGGGCTGGAAGAAATGGCTGGAATTATTTCAGAAGTAAAATCATGAGAAGAGGAAAGCTTCAGAAGTGGTGAATAGTCACAGAAAAAGTGATTGATTTTATTTGGTCCACAGAAGGATAGACTTAATAAACAGCCAGTAAATGTCCAAGCATTCACATATCCACCTAGGTCGCAAATCCCTACTAAGAAAATACAAATTCTGAGGGACATGTAGGTGGAGTAGAGCAGTGGAGAGCAGATGGCCACATAGTGGTCATAGGCCATGACAGCCAGCAGAAAGCACTCAGCTATCCCAAATGTGACTGTAGAATAGAGTTGGGCTACACAACCAGCAACACAGATAGAGGTTTCTTCCCTGAGGAAGTCCATGAGCGTAACAGGTGTGACTGATGAGGAGTAACCAATGTCTACAAAGGCCAAATGGCAGAGGAAAAGATACATTGGGGCATAAAGTTGTGGGCTGCTTCTGATTATCATGATTATGCTGACATTGCCCATTAAGGTGACAATGTAGATTCCTAGAAACACAATAAATAAAATGACACAAATTGTAGTATCCTCTGTTAACCCCAAAATAATGAACTCTGTCACAGTTGTATAGTTTTCAGTCCCCATCTACACTGGAAATGGTGCCCACTGAAAACAAGTCCTCGGGTTACATCAGAGATCTGTTCCTACAGAGCGACGTAAAGATTTTTGCTGTAAGTCGGAACCCACCTACATAAGCACCTATGTCACTCACATGGAGCACATACACAGCAGTAATGAAGTGAAACAGTAAAAAGAAATTAAAATAAAGATAACAATTCCTGACCTTTAGTTGTGGTAAATAAATAATAAAAAACATAAAGCACATATGTGCATACGTTGAAATGACGGAACTTTTTTTTTTATATAAATAAACTAGAAGCCTGTTGCATGAAGATTCACGCAATAGGCCTTCCTTCCCCTGGCTGCCGGCACCAATTTTCCTTCGGTACCCAGGACCCAGGCCTTTGGTCTGGTCGCAGCAGAGAAGCCAAGCCTCATCAGTCTTCAGTCTTCAGTCTTCAGTCTTCACTCCGGCCGGAGCCTTCAGTCTTCGTTCCGAGCCTGTGTATGCAAATTAACCACCATCTTTGTTGGGTTAATTTGCATAGTCACTCTGATTGGCTGGTGGGTGTAGCAGAGTGACACTGATTTGCATATTTCTTTTATTAGTGTAGATGGGAGATGGTGACGTAACCACAAAACGACGTATGTTGAGTCCGACGTAACCCAAGGACTGTCTGTAAGTGGATATTAGAAGAAAATATTATAATTGCACACTTATTTTACAGTTATTATATAATAAAAATTACAGGAACATAGACACACTAGTGTCAATTTGGTACAAAGTGCTTTCATATTCAATACCTCATATTAAACTTGATATTGTATTTATTTATTGATATAAGCAAGGAATAAAACGAATTGTTTTAACTTAACAAACTTAAACAGACATGGAACTTTATTAACTAACTATGGACCCAAAACAAAATGAAAGCTTACAATTTTAAAGAAAATAGATGTGAATGACACAAATTCAGTCATTCACGAATGCCGTTACGGCATGGAAGCAAAGGATTGTGCAAATGCCATGAGCTTTGGAGCCATACAGGCCTAGAGTCAAATTCCAGCTTTGCCAGTGACTCTCTGTGGAATCTTAGACAATCTGCATCCCTTCATTACTTTATTTGTTAAATTTATATATATATTAGAATTCTTGTGTCAAATAAGATAATGTAGTTGACAACAGCAAGTCCAGCTCACAGAGATAAGTGAATGCTCAACAAATGATTTAGAATAACCAAACCTTAACTTCTAATGCAAAAATTTTAAAAAGCATTTCTCTTATCAATATAAAAAGAAATTATTACCTGCAGATGTTGGTACCTCAACAATAAGGACAATTGCCAAAGAATTGTCATTATAGAGCAAGGCTATATTTATGAGATTTGAGGTCTTTTGGGACATAGCCCCTAGAGTACATTACTTGTTTGTGAACATTTGACTGAAAACCCATCAAAATAGAGAAGAAAGAACAGCTAAACATTCTTTTGAGTGTGCAAGAAAACTTTTGATGGATTGCTAAATCTTTCTAACTATTTTGGGACTCACAAGAATAAACATAATGTACCAGATAGAAATTCTTCAGGGAAAAAAAATTAAATGCCTATGTTTTTTATACATTTCTACATGATGCCACCTATATTTTTAACTAGATGTTTTATTTTGAGATAAGTATAGATTCATGTACAGTTGTAAGAAAATTACAAAAATCCCATATACCCTTTACTAAATTTCTCCAAATGCTAGCATCTTGCAAAACTATAGTACAATAGCATTTCACGAATTTTTTAATTGTGTTATATCTCTCTCTGTCTCCAGTAATTTTCTTTGCACTGAAGACTACATTATTTGACATTAATATAGCTACTCTTGCTATCTTTTAATTAATGTTTATATGCTATATCTTATTTCATCTTTTAACTTTCAACAAATTTATATCATTATATTAAGTTCTGTAATAATTAAGATGTGTATTTCTATTTTGTTTTCAAGTTACATACAAAATATGTCTTAAGCTTGTACATTTACAAATTAAGTACTTGGTGGAGGAGTATGCAAACAAATAATAATAGTGCAATGACAAATACAAAAACAATATAAAGCATGGGCAAAAAAGGAATTTAAAATTTCAAAGTGGGCATGAGTAAATATGAAACAAAAAGATCCTCATAGTCAACTGCATTTGCTTGTGAATAAGTTAAAATGTCCAGAACAATTATAATAAAGGGTGGCATGTCACAATAGCTTTGAAACATGAATTAGTTAATGAATTCTATAGTTATAGGTATGCAGTTGGTCATTAAAGTACATTTTTTCACATAAACTTATATTTAAAAGAGCAGGAAAGAAAAGGTCATGAGTATTCAGTCTAGAGGTGAATGTTCTACGAGCTCTTTAGATGTCTGTGTGGGAGGAGGACACACCTGCAGTCAACATCTTACGATCTTGTTGCTCATTCATCTTTTTTTATCTTATGATGCTTTAACTTTAGTATGAAGAAGTCAGCAGTGCCCCATATTTTAATATCAAACTTACATTTCCCTCTATACCAAATAGAGCCTAGAAATTCTCCTCTCTAACCAGAATGAAAAGTCACAGATTGACATGCTACAAGTTACTTAAAAGGCAAACTTGACTAGGAAGTTGCCATAAGAACTGCCTACAGATCTGAACCACACTTCTGTTCCAGTGCCTTCCTCTTTGGTGTGAATTACAGAACTTGGGAAATGCTGAGAGAGAGAGAAAATGTGCTTCCTAATTGGAGAATGCTCTCAGCTCTGCCTTGCTTTGAATGCTGAGGTTGAGAGTAGTGTTCTTTGCAGCAATGCTTTATGGGTGGTGCTACATCACTGTAATTAATGACCTAGAGAACCAGGCTCTAGTCTCTTTCCCTAGTGGCCATGAGGAAAGACCCGATGCATAGAAAAACTGACCTGGATATATCAGGTGGTACTGATGGCCCCAATTTCAATCTTGAGGGAATGTGGAAGGGAGAGTGAAAGTAAGGAGGCGTATGGGACCATTAGAACATTTAGTTGCTGACCTGGTTTTGAATATGGTTTTATTCTTTTTTAAATATATTTTATTGATTTTTCACAGAGGGGAAGGGAGAGGGATAGAGAGTTAGAAACATCAATGAGAGAGAAACATCGATCAGCTGCCTCCTGCACACCCCTTACTGGGGATGTGCCCACAACCAAGGTACATGCCCTTGACCGGAATCGAACCCGGGACCCTTCAGTCTGCAGGCCGATGCTCTATTCACTGAGCCAAACCAGTTACGGCTGATTTTATTCTTTAATTCAATTGGAAATATATAACAGTAGGGAAAATGTTAATAGGAGATAGGAAGACTGCTTTCCTCTTACACTATCTGTTGTGATAAATATGCTAGTCATGGCCATCTTTTCTTTGCAAGCAAAAATATCCCATAGGTGTGTTACAGGTTAGTGAAAAGCTAGGGAAATTATTAAGCAAGATGAGTAGGGAAACTGAGACAAGAAAGTTAAACACAGCCAAACAGTTTGGGGAGCTTGCAGCTAGCTTGTAAATAACAAAGCCATCATTTTCCCCAACCAAGGACACTTGTCTCTGACCAGAGAATACATAGCATAAATCAACCTGGGACTGCTGGGGCTGTGGGGAGAAGAGGGAATGCTGAAAGCCTATCTCACTGAACAAAAAAGTCAACCATTTTTGAGAAAGGAAAAAGGGGGGGCAATTTTATTTCACTGCTTAAACAGTGAAGCTAGTAGTTTCGGGGTTTGTCAAGGTAAAATCCCCATATGCTTCTCTTTAATTCTGGGAAAGCTATAACAAAGTAAAAGGAGGGACACTGAGAGTTAATCTGTACCAAGCTATTCAGCCGAAGAATTTTTTAAAAACCAATAGACAAAAGGGTGTATAACCGCTTGAACTCCCACTGCACTGGCTCTTTAGATTAGCTAAGAGCCAATCCATGCTTCATGTCTGATGATAGATTTGCTTACCTTGCTTCTTTAATAAATATGCATGCTTTACTTTCTTAATAAATTCACTTTAACACAACACAATTATCTAGAGCAGCCGTGGGCAAACTACGGCCCGCGGGCTGGATCCGGCCCGTTTGAAATGAATAAAACTAAAAAAAAAAAAAAGACCGTACCCTTTTATGTAATGATGTTTACTTTGAATTTATATTAGTTCACACAAACACTCCATCCATGCTTTTGTTCCGGCCCTCCGGTCCAGTTTAAGAACCCATTGTGGCCCTCGAGTCAAAAAGTTTGCCCACCCCTGATCTAGAGTCATTCATTTGAATTCATTCATAGGAGAACATAACTGAGAAGCGGGCAGCCCTATCCCTCTGACTCGGGAGGCTTTCCAATAACACCTCTCTGGTGTCTGTAGCAGGTGTGCCCTAATCATACAGTCTTTGCATAACCTCACCTAATTCCCCATAAAACATTAACTGGGCCCCCACCCCAGCCACCACTTCAAGGCAACTCACTGCAGATGCCCTGCCGAGAGCAGGACGAATGTCTCCAAGCATCGAAGGACTTGGGAATCATCCTGAGAACATGCACCCAAGCATCACAAGCTGAGTCATTAGTTACCCCAGGATAACTCAGGGATTTTAATCCCCAAGGGTGGTTTAAATCAAATGTAAAATCTCTCACAGAAATTCAATATAAACTATTCCCTTGGCACCCAGGAAGCTCTGGAAAAACAAGAGATAACAGACTCATTACACTTTAGCTTTATAAATACTTACAGGTTTGTTGGTGTGGAACACAGAAACCAAGCCTTCCAGCAAGACATGAAGAAGCCGACTGGAAATACTCTAAGTGGATGCTTCCTGGGCATTGGGAATCCTGGCTGTCCGATAGGTACTCGGTAAGTTGTATTCACTTCTAAGGTTGTCATAGTAAAAACTACAGGGCAGCCAAGAGAAGAGTTTCAGTTCTGGAAGAGGACAGGGCTTAAAGACATTGCTTCTCAGAGAAGCAAATGGGGAAGGATTGGTTGAGACTCACTTGGAAGAG